CATCAGTGTAGGCGCATGCGCGTGATTGTTATGAATTAGCTTTATGTAAGGTTGTAAATAAGTTTATCGTGGAAACGCTTTTAGATAGGAGTTTGATTCTGGTGTCGTTTTAAAGAGCTTGAGAAGTACTACTAGGACCCAAAGTGAGGCAATAAAACTATTTATCAGAATATAAGTAAAAATCGGTATTAAATTGAACATTTCAAACTCCGCATGTTTTCTATTATAACATGCAGAGTTTTATTTCGATTTTTAAGACATTACAGAATACTTGACAACAGTGAAAGAAACATTGTATTAATATTACGGGAAATATGAGCATTTGTAGTAAATAATGTTTTTTCGCGCATACGCGAAATGCAATTCTTTATAATGTCAGCAGATGGCGCTATCAAAAGCTAAATAAAACATAAGACAGGCGCAGTTAGGGTCCGCGCCCAAAACTTTTCGTGAAAACGTCGGGATAAAATCATAAAACAATTATTTCGTATTAATATGTAATTTAATTGTCATTCTCTTTAATACAATATTTTCACAGAGCAGTATAATGGTTACAGAATAGATAAGTCACAAGTTTATCGCATCTAGCAAGGGTCTATGGTAACTTGTGATTTGGCCTTGAAATATTTAGCGACGTAAACTTACAGTAAGTTTTATAATCTTTATGATGGTAACACTAAGCGCATGAAAGTAATTAATGTTAAAACTTTGGTATCTGAATGAAAATATAAATTTTAAGAACTGAAGTTTTCCGATATTATTGTACACGAAGATTAGATATCTAAATAGCTCTTAAACCTTTCCATAATGCTATTGTCGCGGAAAGTCTACTGAGTCTTCTATGCATTAGTGTTCGTCTTTATTATATTTCACTAATTTCGGTTTTGCATAGTGATTCAATCCAAATAAAAGAAGTGTATTGGAATAAAATACTTTTTAAGGTCAAAATAATGGAAGCGTTTCTTCGTCTCATCGAAGTTATTGTTCAGTGTAATTACAACAGAAGGAATTTTTGTCGTTGTCGATAAAATCAGCAGAATCTTAAATTAATATAACTACCACTACGAATGAATGTATTTTAACTATATATGATCTGATACAGAGCTCAGACACAGTTTCCTTTTTAATTAATTTATAGTCTTGAAAGGCAGTGTCTCTTTAAGAGAACTGCTAAGCGTCACATCGGAGTAAAATACAATTTGAGTTTACTTATGTCTTTATTTCATTATTATTTATTAGTTACTACTTTACGAACTCGATTTACCGTTAGATCGATCAATAATTTACAAATGTTTCTACAACTGCGCATTTTGGGAGATGTTTCTACAAATATTTTACAATGTTTTTACAACTGCGCATTTTGGGAGATGTTTCTACAAATATTTACAATGTTTCTACAACTGCGCATTTTGGGAGATGTTTCTACAAATATTTATAATGTTTCTACAACTGCGCATTTTGGGAGATGTTTCTACAGATATTCACAATATTTCTACAACTGCACATTTTGGGAGATGGCCTCTTCTTTGGTCCAAAGTTTGATTCAGATTTACAATTTAAACATCAAGACCACATTCACGGTGCTGAGAGCGTTTTTGAGTTATCCTGTTTAAATACACATGTGACGACAGACACTCTACTCAATGAAGGATTTAGTCCCAAATTTTGCGTAAGTGAACCTACAACTTCAGTGTAAAAATCATATACTGAAATCCATTACTTTACCTAGATGCGTTATTCAGTTATGGCGCTCACACGCAAGAATAGACAGACCAACGGATAGTCAACAGATTTTGTTCAACGTTTTATGTATGACATTATTATCTTATATGATGAAACTGATATGATAATTGACTTTAAAAAGTATTTCGTACTCTAAACTTACAAATACGGCCAAAAAAGTAAGTTTCGTTATCTTTTTGACTGGAAAATAAAATTTAAAAATAATGTGTGCTTTCATTATCTCACTGAAAATCTAATTCTATTTCAAGAACTGAAGTGTTCCGAATTTATTTTTTATGGTGATAAATATCTAAACGGCTTGTGAACATTTGCGCCACGTTAATGCTGTAGGAACTCTTCTAGGACTCCTATGCATTAGTATTCGATTTTTTCATTATTTATCTGTTTTGTATGAGAGTTGAAATGCATAGAAAAACAGTCGATTCATATAAAAGGCTTTTTAGGATCAAAATAATTGAAACATTTGTTTGCCTGTATGTTATGCATGCTGAAGGATCGTCTTGCAAAACCCAACGGATAAAATTTTTTCCGTTGTTTATAAAATTATCGATATTTTAACAATTACCACTAAGAATTAATGCATTTTAAATATAAATCGTTTGATGGAAAACCGGGATATGAATAGAAATTGGGCTTTACGGCGAAATTCCCGAAAGGCAGTACAATTGTTTTGTGGCTGCCGAAATTCTCGAAAGGCAGTGCAATTGTTTTGCGTCTGTCATGCGTTAAATAATCAATGAAAATGCTTTTGTCTTTATTTTTGACACTTGGTTCATCTTTATTTCCTATTTGGAAACTACAATACTAATTAATGTATGAATGCTTCTGCTCAACCGTCATATTGGTGTTCAACTAACAAAGATACTATTTATTCTTCTGTTATAGTTAGGGGGAGAGCTGTCCCCTCAACATTCTCGTATATTTCAACATAACCCGTTCAGGACCATCGTCTCATATATGTGATCACTCTTTCCGTGCCCTACAGCCCATCGTCTCATATATGTGATCACTATTTCAGTGCCCTACAGCCCATCATCACATATATATCACATCTTTCATCTTTAAATATCATGAACGTTTTTTATCACATTATATTCGGATATACTATCAATGATAATAAATTGTACATTTCAGCGTATTTACTTGTAGTAATGATTTTATATGTATTTTAAAATGAAATTAGGCTTAACGGAAAAATCGTCCGGTACCGTGCGTACGTACCCTTCCGGAGCACGCGGGCATGGGAAAGCGCTTCTTTTTCCTTTCGGTGGTCCTGAACGGGTTAATAATACATTTGAATTTAGCAACGTCGCTTAGTGAAGAAAATTCAGAGCGCATTTTGAAATATTAAGTTTCCCCATTGGAAATTTTGTTCAAAATTTGATACCTGCGTAAAATTTTGAGGTGAAGACCGGCAAGCGAATTTTATTTTTCCTAGCTCATTGCATTTATAAGTTTTCGTTTTCAAGTACTCGTGATCGGAGAGACAGTCCACTCATTAACGAATTTAGAACAAAATTTGTCATAGATCTACAATTTTGCTGCAAAAGTTCGACACTGAAATTCATCCATCTCTCTATTGCGCATTTACTTATACAGGAATAGACAGGCCGACAGACTGTCAACCCTTTGACAGATTTGGTCGATATTTTTATATTCGCCTACAATTCTAGTGATTAAACAATGTGTCTAATTTTATCCATTTTGCATTTTTGATCTATCGTATTCACATGCGCATGCACCGACAGACAGACATCGCGTTTTCGTGTTTTCTTCAGAAAACTTAATACAGATCTACAGTTTTGGAGTAAAATCATAAACCGAATTTCTTTCCTTTATATCGTTCTGTTTGAGTTATCGTATTCACAGAAGGAATAAGTTGCATTTTCACATCAAGGTGGTTGTCTCGAATTAAGAAAGTTGAAAGAACAGAAATTTTTCAAAGACATTTTAATTGTTATAAAGCGGAAGAAGATGCATTTTTGATGCGAATTTTAACCTGTGAAAGTTGTATGGATCATTGCAATCCTGAGACGAAGCGATCCGGTATAGAATGGCGCTCAAACAGTAAAAATACTTCACTGAAAGCTTAAACTCGGTTGTCTGCTTTAAAAATTGGCACTACTATTTTTTAGGATTCACAGGGTATTCTATAGGTCGATTTTCTTCTTTGACGATGAACAATTAATGCATTATACTAATGTGAACTTTTGGGATAATGTTAAATCAGCATACCTGTCGAAGAAAACGTTCTATTCCGATCCGCAACGATTTCCTTCTCTAGGAGGGTGGGTGCAAGACCCCACGCAGCTGGTGCATTACATGGGGAATTAAAGAAACTTCCCCAGGAAACACTTGAAAATCCTCCTCATTTCCAGACTTAGCATCTTCAGATTATCATGTTTCGTTCCCTTAAAGAAGCGTTAGTAGGAAAAAGATTTTCATCGGGTGGAAGAGTAGAAGAATTTGTTCGCAAATGACTTCGAACACATCCGGATTCTTTTTATTATACAGGAACAAAAAACCCAATAGATTGGAAAAATTGTGTAGATGTTAAACGATATATATATAAAAGTAATATTGATGTCAATTTAGTAAGTAATACTTCACAAAATATATTTTAAAAATCTCGTTTATATTTGATTAACCCTTGTATAATAAATTTAAGCACTTGGAAAGAGCTAACTAGTGTCATAGTAATATTTTTCGTGATTAAGTACCTAATTGGTAATTTAACATTTGCTCCATGCTAAAGTCCTGAGAATTCTGCTAAATTTTCTGTGATCTTTCCTCTCTTTTTTCCCGTATGAGAGTCAATCATAAAAGAGAGAGAGCCCACCAAAACAAAATAACTTCTCTAGTCAAGATAGAAGAGGTTTTCCATGGTGTGTATGTTATGGTCGCTGAAAGATCATTTTATATAATCACAGCGGGCTTCTTCTGTTGCTGCTGCTTCTTTCTGTGCTGTAATAGCAATGTTAAATTTCCAATATAGAGAGCTTGAATTCTCATTTCGCGTTCATTTAGAATTCAAAATAGCTTTCTACGTCGGGCTGTAAAGAAAATGCTGATGGTAGTCTCTTCGACGGGGCTTACAACAGTAGACAAATTTAGGTTATGACTCCATTGCAGAAAACTTGATCTCGTTTCAAATTCTTATCAAAGCTTTCTCTTTTTAACCAATTTTCTCTAATATTTGAAAGAAACACTCCAAGAGCTTTTAATACATATTACCACACATAGAAATCTAGCTGGCGGTCGTCGTAGCTCAGTTGGTAGAGAACTAGACTGTAAATCTATGTCTGTGCTTCGAATTGTGGCTACGGTAGTTTCATTCGAAAACTGGTATTTCAATTAAAACTATTGTTTATTTATGTCCTAGGCAGTTCTAGACCTTTCTTTAAAATTCTAGTTATAAGATTCTGTTACTGTACAAATGAGAGTCCCACAAATTGGGGGCAAGTCGTCTGCTCTCTTATGTTAAGAATTGCTTCTTTTCTATGAGATAATCACCACTTTCCCAAGGGAAAATTAATAATTACCTTTAAAAATCCAAGGAACATTTTTAAAGTTCTATTTCTTGATTTGATTCTGTTCCTGATTTTTATTTAAATATTAACGTGATGATTATTTTTTGTATTTCAGAATTTGTTGGATTAGAGTAAATTATTTGATCTGTGTTTTATATTTTGATAATTGTCTTGTACTAATAAACTATTTAACTTCTTTAAAATATATATTTACTGTTAAGGAAATATTATTAATTTGCCAACAGTTTTATTATTCATCGTTAATTGAGTTCATTAGATTAAATTCTTAACATTCTTCATTTTTTTAATCTTGATAAAAATATTAATCAACAAAGGTTTCCCGGCATTAGCGCTGAAATGAAATGCATATCTCTATGCAGTATTATTGACAATTATTTGTTAAAATATTTGGCATATATTTAGGTTTATATGATTTAGAAATAATCAGCAGAAAATCAACAGAGAAAAAAAATCAAAATATAAATTTCCTCAGCGGTTATAATTTGAAATAACTTCCATGTTAAAATGAAATTCATCTTTAAAAAGTGAATGAATATTCTAATGAATAGCAGAAAATGCTTCTAATACAAATACCATACTGAAAGTTAAATAAATGTATTTTTTGGAAAATTTAGCTTTCAGTGGAAAATGATGTAACTTATATATCTTTAAAAGTGAGACAAGCAATGTTCAACTATCATATCACTTGTAACGAATCAAAATAATTAATGACAATTCTTTAATCAAATCAAATTAGCAGCACCAAATTAATCACATTACCAGAAAGAAATCAAATCTGATTTAATCTTGCAAATAAGTTATTTAAATTGCATTTTTCATTCAAAATTAGAATATATATAACTAATTAGAAATCAGCAAAGAAAAAAAAGGATGAGGAGATGGTTATTTGTCTACCAAAACAACATACATATCAACTTATTTAACTTTTGCACTGGATTTTCGATATCTATTTTAAATAGACGCTGTCTTTCTAATAAATATGTTTCTTATTAGTTAAATAAGCTAAACTGAATCTATTTCTCCCCCTTAGCAAACAAATATGTGATAAACAATTTTTCAAAATTGAGATAAATGCGAAATTTTAACGTTTGGACTTCTTTTTCTGTACACGCATTACACCTTTTTCAATCAATTATTATATTATAAAGAAATTTCAGATTTTCGTTTTGAAGTATATACTTTTTTTCTTACTTTCAGATTTTTTTATATATATATTTTCTCTAACATTTGAGTTCACTGGGAAATTTTTATATAATTATTGCTTTCATGACGAAAACAGAACCTATTCTATAATACAAATACAAGTCGAAAGATTTTCATTTCAACAAATGAATATGTGGCTGAAATGTTTTGATAACATAACATGTAAAGTTGTAATTTACACTAAATATCATTGAAAAATTCATTCGATTCTTTTATTAATTGAAATGTAGCAAAAGGGAAGTGAAAACGGCCTTTAAAATAGAGGTGCTAAAAACTAGATATTTTAAGTAGCAAATCTCTACTAATAATAAAGGAGAATGTCTGTCTGTGTGTCTGTTGGCGAACAGACCGTAGAACTACCAAATTTGGCACATATATCCTTGGATGCTGAAGATGTGCACCTTGGAGCCGTTTTTTAATTTTAATTCAAATTTAAATTATTTAAAAATAAAACCAAATTTCTCCCTTTTTTGCCGATAACTTCTGAATGAATTGATGGACAACAAAAATTTTATGTCATTTTAAAGTTCAAACAGATATCTTTAAAATGAAATCAATTGATATTTTGTAGGATATTTATCTATTTTTTTATAAATTTTTAAAGTCATCAGAAGTTTAAGGTTAGTTTAAGGTTATTGGTTGCTAGAGTAGAAATTGACGTAGGAAGGAGGGGCTGAGTAGCTGTAATCAGTATGGCCGCGTGTATCTTCTAAAAAAAATTATTATTGATGTAATCGCTTCGGCAGTACATATACTAAAATTGGAACAATACAGAGAAGATTAGCCTGCGCAAGGATGATACGCGAAATGGTGAAGCGTTTTACATTTTTAACGCTGATCTGAGAAATAAGTTTAAACTACCCAGCAGTAAAGAGTTTATTCTAAAATTAGCCCAAAAAATTCTTTGAAAATCTCCCTAATATTAAAAATCACTTCATGTAAATCGTAGGCGCATCCAGATTAATTTTATATAAATAATTCCTCTCTTTTCAGTCCCCCTTTTTTTCCTATACTCCATGACAACTGCTTCAAACGTTTCTTCACACGAAATGGATAGCGCAGTCGGTTAGACACGCTTCTCCCACCCTTTCACGCCGGGGTTCGAATCTCTCTTGAGCTTTGCCTTCGTCAGCTTTCCTGCCTCTTTTTTGCATATTTTAAAGGAAACATTAGATTTAAATGCTTCCAATACTCTCATTTAACTTTTGCTTATTTTATTTTATACTATTTTCTCGGTAATTTTTATACATTTCTTTAGAGATAAAATTATCTCCTCATCTAAATGTTTCTCAAATTTTACAAAAATTTTTCCGCGGCGATTAATTAAGCCTAATAGATAGCTTTAGAATGGTAAATTTGGTTTTATTTTATTCATTGTAGTCATTGGCTTTAATCTTAATTATTAATCTTGGCTGTACACTGTTGAATGGTGATGCGTGTTTTTAAATTTTACTTTGCTCCACTGAGAGAATAACTATTACCCAAACATATGCCTGCTTTAGTTCATTTTTTATCATTTGCTATTATTAGCTATTATTTGATAATTTGTGTTTCTATAGTTTATAGATATTTAATTTCTTATTGTGTGTTTGTTGTTTTGTTATGCACAGAATAATTATTCAAAATTTGTTTTTTTTTTCATGCATTTCAATTCAATATTTTTTTTATTTATAAATGGTTGTTTTTATTGACTAGATTTAAATGATTATCATGAATTTATTTTTGCGTTTCATAAAATGTAGTCAATTCTTTTTTTACAGAAAAAACTTTATTTAGTTATTTTGAATTTTAATTAGCTTTAATATGTAAATTATTTTTAGCTGAGAGATTTAATTAATGTACTTCAAATTTTTCATTACTTATTAAAATCTTTTCCATTTTTTTCTTTAAGAATCTTTTTACTAATCATTTTTTAACACTTAAACATAAGGGATTCACTCAAAGTTCATTATATGCAAAAACATCCTGTACATTTTCGTTTTGTGCATAAAATTCAATTATACTAATATTCAATTAAAATTCAGTTATACTAATTAACTTGTTCACTGTTCGTGTTTTTAAATTCATTTCTCTGTCCTTTTTGCAATGATTGTTTTCAGCTTACAAAAATTGAAATGTTGAAAATGTCAGCCTTAATTGCCTTATTATTATTAATACAAGATTGGCGAACCAGCTGGTCGCCGTAGGCGGCTAGTAATAAATATTTAAAAACGTGTCAAAAATGTTAATCGCAGTAATATCCAGTATATCATTTTAGGAGGCTTAAAATAGTCTTAATAATAAATTAAATCAGATTGATACTGCAAAATCATTCGATTGGATTTAAAAAATGTAAAGAAATGAAAGAGAGGAGGAAATAGGATTCTTTCAAATATTATTTTCAGATTTTAAAAAATTACACTTTTTCTACAGAAAACTGAGAGCCAGAATTTCAAAGATACAAGGAGATTATAGATTGTGAAAATTAAATAAGTAGCACTAATAGAGAAAATAGGAAGTACAAGTTTTGTTCAAAATACATGATGGTCATAATTTATTAAACCAATTTCAAAAATTATTTTAAAAAATAATAACTGAGTTTTTTTTAATGAGAGAGCAAATAAAGAAGTTTTTTCAGTTAAGTGGCGTACCATTAAGGCGTTCTAAATTTGCTACAGCAACAGATTTCCATACGCAATGGCTACCGATCAACAGAAGTCGATGAGCGTTTTCTGGTTTCCTTTTTTGGTTCGTCTTGAATATCCCGAAAACTTTTCAATTTTCGAATTACAATTGAGTCAGCAAATTAAAAAACGTAAAATTCCCCACAAATGCATGTTTTTATTTTTCTTTTAGCTTTAATAGTTTCAGATATTGGCTCTCAAAAATGGGAGATGTCCAATAATTTACGACCACCTAGACAACCGTAATGGCGTGTTACCTAAAACTTTTTAAAATTCGCTCCCAGTTTTAAAAAAAAGTTGTAACATTATTAGTTTTTTCTATTATTTTTTGAAATGGGTCCAATAATTTATGACCACCCTTTATAATTGAAGAAATATTGTTACGTACCTTGACTGTATGTGATTGATATTTAGTTGCTACAATATTTTTTTCAGTGTAATCAGTGTTCAGGATTTCAGTGTAATGGAGCATTTAATATGCTTCAAGTATTGGCTCGTGGGTTAAATAATCGGCTCAAAAAAATTTTCATTTAAAAATTTCCTCTCTTTCAATTTTTAGTTAGATTACTGAATTGTTTCATATACGCGAGTTGTAGTTATTTCACTAGTTTCTTAAAATCATTCATTAAAATGCAAACTAATTTCAAAACATTACAAACATCGCAATGAATGGTTCTTAAGAATGAATTGAGGAATATTGTGTCTGAAGAAAAATTCTATACACAGCATTACTTGCATATAAAACGATAAGTTGTTTACTATATCTTTTTAAGTCACAATCATCGATTTTATTTTAGAGAAATCGCGAAAGAAAATGCTTTCAATTGAAACTTAGAGGATTCTCTAGTATAATATTTGTGCAACCCATTTGCAAACCCATCCTTAATTATTTTTTAAAATTAAAAGGT